AAAGTATGTGGACTAATGTGAAACTTTGGTGCTAAAATATCAGTTGTAGATCCAGCTGTGTTCTTTTGGTGTAAGGCAAAGAATGGCATTGAGGGTGTACTTGATTTTTTAACTTTGTACACCACTATCCGAAATGACTAAAGGAAAAACTGTATTCCTTGATGCATGGGGCTTCTGTTACAAAACGTGGTGAACACAGATACAGTTACGTACCTATATTCAGAGGTTCAGGACAATTTGTGAAAAATGAAAGACTTCCTCATTGAAAACATCTGTGTAAAATTTGGGGGTAAGTCAGTTAGGCAAGAAGTAGCCATCCCAATGAGAACCAATTGTGCCCCCCCCCCCCCCCCCCCTCTTGTGGATCTGTTTCTTTTTTAATCAGCATTTCTGCTCGGATTGGCAAAAACAAAGCAAGGTAATTTGGCCAAGAAGTTTAACTTAAGTTTCAGGTATGTCGATGATCTGATATCGTTCAATAACATTTAAATAGCCAATTCCCTTCCACTGATTTACCCACCTGAACTAGAAATAAAGGAGACTAGTGAGACCGACCCCCATGCTTGCCCTAAAAGGTGACTATGCTTGCCGTAAAAGGCGACTAACGTGATCGGGTGGTCAGGCTTGCTGACTTGGTTGATGCATGTCATCGATCCCAATTGCATGGATCGATGCTCATGATATTAATCACTGGATTGTCTGGTCCAGGCTTGATTATTTACAGACCACCATCATATAGCTGGAATATTGCTGAGTGTGGCGTTAAACAACCAACCAACCAACCAACCAACCAGTGAGACCGCCTCATCTGTTTCATATTTAGATCTATGCATAAAGATTCAGAGTGACAAAACACTCTCCACAAGACTGTATGACAAGAGGGATGACTTCGACTTCCGAATATTCAACTTTCCCTTCATGTCGAGCAATATTCCAGCAGCTCCAGCCTTTGTGTTTACATTTTGCAACTTATGAGACACAATCGAGCATGCTCTTTCTACCAAGATTTCACAGAGCGTCGTACAACTCTTGCTCAGAAGATGTTTGATCAAAATTCCAACATTCAAGGCCCCAGTAAACATTTTATGTAGAAATGTGAGGGACATTTCCAAATTTGACACCTCAGGGACAAAAATGAAGCACATTTAATTGCAAAGGCTCATTAACCTGGAGCCATGACATCTATATGCCTTGAAACACCTAATTGCTGTTATTTATAAGTTGCTAATCCTAATTGTTAATCCCCATTTTTGTGTACATCGACCGTCTGCCATCCTGAACGAGATGAGCAAGTATGTCACTGATGAATTGCTGTTTACATTTATATTTTTATTACTTACTAAATGTCAGGTGACCTTGGCTATATAAGCCTTGGTCCAGAGAGATTGAGAAAGAAGGAGAAAAGAAAGAAAGGTCTTACCCTTAGCCTAGCTTGGGTTAGGCTGGGTGCTCCGGGGCACCTAGACAACAACCACTACCACTATGTGCTGACCTGGCACATAGTGTCTTTTGTATGTATATATATCTACTTGTATAAAGTAAAACTGTATATACCGCAGCCATCGTCTCCATCATTGTTACTTCCTACAGGAACCATACATCGGCCCCTTGCATATACGAGTATGCAAATTATTCATTAATCAACGTCAGACTGACATGCGTTGTTATAGGTATTGAACTTATCAGTGAAGGAATGCAGTTTTGATGAAGCAAAAAAGTTATGTTGAAAATATCAGTCTGATCCATCTTGATAAAGAAAGAGCATCTCAGCATGATTCCCACTGACAGTAACAGAACTTATTGGCAATTGCTTAAAAGTGGGACAGATACTTTGGGTTGGTAGACAGAGTAGACCAGACATCATGTTTTATACCAACAGCTTGGCAGCGTCACTGTTAGAAAGTTAAAGTCTGAAAAAGTTACCCTTCAATTCCAATTTCTGGGTGTTGAGAATACCCTGGAACTAGTTGTGTTCAGTGATGCTTTGGTGGTCATCTCATAATGCTTGTCAGAGAAAATGGTTCTTTCTCAACTCCTAGTTGGCAATCAAGGCATGTCCTACATATAGTGAGGAGTACCTTAGCAGGGAAACATTGGCCATGGCAGATGGCATTGACAATAGTATATTTCTGGCTACATTGTATTCTGAGTTGACAACAGGGTATGCACAACCACATCTACTTACGATCACCTGTGTTGCAGATTGTCACTCACTTTTCGATGCTTGAAATCTACAAAGTTTGTGAATGAAATAAGGCTTAGAATGGAGATTAGCAGTATTAAGGAACTCAATGAACAGAATCAAATGAAAAGCATCCTTTGGTCTGGGAGTAAGCAACAGCGCGCAGTTGTCTGACCATAAGAGGTGCATCCTCATTCACTCTGAGTGAGTGAGTGAGTGAGTTAGGTTTAATGCCGCTTTTAACAGTATTACAGTTATATCACGGCGTGTCAGCTTAATGTGGGAGAAAGCCCTGAAGTGATGCAGGTCTCAGATGTTTACAACTTCGGTGAAACCCACGAGCATGGGTATGGTGCTGACAAACCCAGAAACATAATCGGGGCGAACGAGGATTGCTGGTGTGCCCAAGGGACGCAACTCTGCACAGCGAATCACAGTGCCTTAGATGACTGGGCCACCTGTGCCCCCCCCCCCCCCCCCCCCCCGCCCCCTGAAAGTCCTTGATGATGGTGTGTGGCACTATGACACTTTTTATGCGACATGTCATTTTGGTTACTTTGCTGTTTGTGTTTTACAGACTAAATAACCATGATGACTTTTAAGAATAATTATTTCTTTGCTTCATCTTACATTATAATTTTAACAGTCCTCACTTTTGGTTCATAATTTTGTGAGCAGGACGTCTTTTCGGTGGATCCGTAAAGCAAGTTAAAAAAGAAATGTGGCCTAATTTAGGTGAGCTACAGAGCCTTATGGCTCTATTGTTTCCATTTAAACAGGCTAAACAAGAGAGTGGAAACTTTATGTGAATGATAGGACAATAAGTGGAGTTTCATCTCATATGTCATAAGAATTTAAGGTCAAAGTTTCAAGATCACAGGATATTATTGCTGAATATCCTTGAGATCACTTTAGGACTTCACATAGAAAATATCCAAGTGTAGATATGCATGCTTAATTTTGTTAAGCCTTAATTTTTCATACAATATCACCATCAAAGTATTCAATAATTTTTGCTTTATTAGCTAAATGATATACGACATATTTTTTGTATATGCAACATAATATGAGGTATTGTGTGTTTTGAAAATGTCTTTAAGTTATCTTGATTCAAGTTATGAATGTGCTGTAAAAACATTTTGCTGGTACTGTTTGACACAGGCTTTTTCACAATTCCCAAATGAAAGTTGTATTGAATGCTGAATGGCAGAAAAGTATGACTTTACCTTACCTTGCCTATGGAGCTGAAAATTTGAAGATGTATGTTGTCTCTACAACTTTCAATCCAACTCCATGGTAGCAGTACTGCAAATGTTATTTTTGCATTATACTCAGCTATTTCTAAATGTTTGATTATGAAATAGCAAGTATTTGGTTTGTGGAATAACATATGATTTTGGCACATTTGTTTTATTTTGATGAGGTTATGACCTTTGGTCTTAAGATACCTGTCTTCTAGTGTCTCTGCCTTTTCAAACATTTCCACTGAAACTATATGGCCTATGGAGTTGAAACTTTGCATGAATGCCCACAGCTATGGTGTGGATAAAACTTGCTCCACAGAATTTTAGTGTGATTTCAAACATTGCTGCCATTTCCATTTCCCCATTGCCTAGTTATGGCCAAAACGCCCTTTGCTTTGACTTGACACAAGGGACCTACAACAAAGCTCAAAGAAGGCATGTTTTCTTGTTCAATAAATCATACATAATGCAGCTACATTAAATAATATTTAGAACCTATAAACCTTTTTTCTTCAAAATGTTTTGAAAGTTTGCATAGGTGTTGCTGTCATGGGTGAGGTCTATTATGTATGTTCCACTTTTTGCAATAATATGCAGTTTTGACCTTGATTCAACCTTTACAGCATAATAGGTGTCATTGAAGTGAAAATACATCAACTACATCAAACTATCTCCATTTTGGAGCAATGGCAATAATTAGGATTGTAAATATCGTTCCCATGTAAACCAATGTTTACTTCTCTCAGAAATGGTTCACGAAACATTGCAAATGACTGTCAGTAGCAAAGTTTCACAATTCTACACCTTTTGATAAAAGAGGAAATGGCAACCCAAACTGTTCATGGATGGCAGGCCAGCATTTTTGCCAATTTGGCTGGTGTTTCAGTTGCCCCTTGGTTGGTCAAAGACAAAACAGCCATGGCTTCGTCCATTGAGGCAAATGCTATCTATCTTCAGTACTTCAAAGAGGGGTCTCTTTCTCGTAATTGTCAGTTAAAAAGGTACATGGCCCTGTGACAATACTTGGCTGATGAAGCTTGGTTTTGGTATCCTTGTTTTATCATGTTCAAATCAAAGTAATTTAGGAATAATTATATTTTTATATGGCCAAACAAGAACAAATGTTATTTAACTAAAAGTGCTTTGTTGTCAAAGAAGTTAGATTTTAAGACATTTCAGTGAAAATTTTCAGGTAAAGTTGGTGATATTGCTTCTTCATTTCTTGCATGTAATGTAAACACCTTTTTAGTTTTCCCATCATAATACCCTGTATGCACTATTCACAAGTTCCTCACAAGGTGAACTGACCTTTGCAATGTTTAGTTCCAAAGTACGCAAAACTATTACGACATCATAACATTCCACAGCATTCACAGTCCATGCACTGTAATGCAATGAAACTGAACTCAAAGTACCAGTTGGATATATCACTGACATTGTCTTCTTGTTCCTCTTGTGAGGTCTTCACAGTGTCTCTAGATTTATTTTGTATACTGTGATGCTTCTTCACTGAAAATGTAAATGTCATTTGTAAATGTAAACAATCTTTTCACAACTTTTAATCTCTATTTCAGAGGACGAATACGTGAATGTTAACGCTGATGACATGAACAGCTTGGATGTAAATGAGTAAGTATGACACTGAAAGCAACATACAAAGACAATGATCTTTATAATTGTGGTTGTGTAATCCAGCATAATTACCATATATCACTGTGTATTAGGCAAGTTTTTCATACCTAGAATAAGGGGTATTTCAAGGGGGTCGCCCTATACACAGGGTACAAGAGTTTTGAGGAGTTTTTTCCCCACAACAGAAAGACATAACCGTGAGCACATATCACCATGTCAACAATTCCATACTGAAGTATGCAAATTAGTCATGTAATTACACTGTCTGGTTATAAAAAATGTTCATTGTATATCTGGACTTGTGTTTGTTATCAATTTTATTAATTTTATTCAAAATTCCATTCAATATTGTTCACATTAATTTCGGCAAAATCATATGTGAAGTGATCCGTAGATCGCATAACTCACTGTGATTAACAGCAACTTATCAGCTGTTCCAAAGTGCTATGTTTATATGGTTGATATTATTATTGTCCCCTGCCGTGTGAAAGCGCGAAGCAGGGGATATAGTATTCACGACCGTCCGTACGTCCGTCCGTCCGTCCCACCTGTTTGTTGCCGCGATATCTCAAGAACTAAACACTGGATTGTCTTCATATTTGGAACTATGGTGTATATACAGACTCCGCAGACACCATTCGGTTTTGGTGACCTTGACCCCATTTTCAAGGTCACAGCAGGCATATCTGCTTTTGGAGTTGGAAAACGGTGTTGCCGCGATATCTCAAGAACTAATCGCAGGATTGACTTCATGTTTGGAACTATGGTGTATATACAGACACCGCAGACACCAGTCGGTTTTGGTGACCTTGACCCCATTTTCAAGGTCACAGCAGGCAAATCTGCTTTTGGAGTTGGAAAACGGTGTTGCCGCGATATCTCAAGAACTAATCGCTGGATTGTCTTCATATTTGGTATTTTGGTGTATATACAGGCGGGGGACATTTCGTCACTTCTGTGACAAATACTTGTTTGAAATACATAGTAAAGCTGCATCTAATATAACATTGGAATATATTATTCCTGATAAAATAATAGTTTCAGGTACAATACTTCTGATTATTGCATCAAAATGCTATTATTATTCAAGTTATATCATTGCAGGACTAATGCATTGAAAATAGAAAAGAAGATGTATTCTTGGGTAGAAAGTGGCCAATATGTTTGGATGGCTAGCCAAGGGTGAAAAGCCGTAGCAGCGAGAGCATATTATACACTTACCTCTCCGCTATTATCCCAGACAGTCATGTTCAAGCAATGAGAAAATGAGAACAAGACAGCACAAGGAGGGCGGGCGGGAGAATAGTTTTGTCTGACAAGCGAGTCTGGCGGTGATGTGAGAAATGAGGTAAATCACCATTATGTCACGTAGATTGATGTAAGCACTAACTGATGACGTCATATGATGACGTAACTGGAAAGCCGATGTAGTGTTTATAAACAAGCGCACATGGTACGCCGACGCCAACGATAACACAATTTCTTAGGTTAACACAAAATGCGATTATTTGGTAAAACTTTGCCAAATCACCGGTAGATTGGGAAAAAACATGGGTAGAGCTGACAGCTGTTTCCGGCTTAGTTTATTAGAAAATATACACGATAATCTTAATCTCTGCATAGGAGAATAGGAAATACAATTTAAATGGTAAATCATCATGCCTAATGATGTTTTGTCTAAAATTTCAAATTTGTATTGGCCGAGTTTGTTAATTTAGCTGTTTGTTTTCGTGAATTCGCTAAAAGAGGTACAATGTAAAATTATTCTTCACATAATACTTGAACTTGAAGACAAGCATGTTTTTATTGCATGCGCTGGTGATGTTCTTCATCCCGGAACATTGTATAGACGAAGTGAAAGGTCATTTGAAACTGGCCTAGTGCTGGTTTCTGGTTGATATCTTGAACAGATGTTGACAATTTCTCAGTATTGGCACCCTCACGCTCTATAGCTAGATTTCCACACGTTATCCAGGTCTCCAACCTCCTCCAGTCAGTATGTCAGGCCAGTTCTGTGCTACCTACAGTTCAGGTATTGTGCAGGAGCTGAAGTAGGTCTCAGAGTACTTGGATTACATCCAAAGATGTTCTCCGGATGTAATGTTTGAATTTCAGATTCATCAAAATGAAAGAACTTATCATTACTTATCATTACCAGTCACCCAGCCTTATTATCAATAAGTAAAAAAATTAACAGACTTTGACAATGCACTGAACATAAAAATGGTCTCCTGATCAACGTCAACTGGGACCACATTTCTGTAGCCCTGTTTTTGAGCTCAGGTTGACGTTAACAATTGCATTATGTTATTGGGTGGGATCTTAGTGTTGCACATGGTGTTGTATTCACATTTGATAGTTGTTCAGACTGCATAACAGTGTACCATCAATGAAAGCTAGAGTTTCTAATTTAGTTTGCATATGCATCCTCAGTTTTGATTCTGTTGTGTTCACCTGACACCGAAACAGATCTTGGTCCCTCACACGACAACAGGGAAATCCTCCAGGAGTCCTTCAAACTTCATTTATATTGGCTATCCAGCCTAACCTCATTACAGGTGGAATTTATTAGAAATCTTCTAAAGCTGTGAAACACAGTTTACAGCCTTCTGTAGACTCACTATGGGAAAAAGTCTCTTGAATAAAATGTCTTGAATAGAGTCAAGACCTGGAAGTAATGTTTTTGAACTATAAGTACATGGTTAAATATGTTAATATATTGGGAGTTTTGAGAAAAGAGCTTCTGTTTTTGCAAGTACTATAAAACATTTCCAGTATAAATTTGTTATTAATACTTGTGTGAGTTATGTTGTGGTTCTTAGGGGGGAAGGTTCAGTCTTTTTTAATGCTTAAGATTATGATTGTTACTTTAGTGGACACATTGCAAAGTAATGAAAAGTGCTACCAGTAACTGAAGCACAACATAACTATGTTGGGAGAATCACAGTTGGCTATTATGCCAGGGTATTCAATTTGTCCAAGAACACGTACCTTTCTTGACGTTTGTCCCAAAAGCATAGTACAATGTATGTCACATAAACTACCCATCACAAGCTGACCTAACAATGTGTTACACTGGATGCCCAGGACTGCTTCAAGTGGTTACTTCATTTGCAGCAAAAGTGTACAGTGGTATCCTCTATGACAGCAGCAATTCCAGTGACATTCCTGAAGCAGACTGAGTTTTCAGAGGTTTTGTTTTGACGCAACAACATTGTCAACTGCGACGTCAGTGGTGTCAAGCATTCAGAACATGTCCCAGCCAGGAATCGAGGACCGTTTGCTTCAATGGCAACATGTGCTGAACCTGCACAGGCATCTTCCTGAGGCAAGGGAGTTCACTGACTTTATGAGTCCAGTTTCCACCCACACTGAATTAGGCTGTGGCTTTTACAAGTTATGTCGCCGCTACTGACCAATCAAATTCCACCTCTCATATCACTTGCATTTGCTTCAAACAAAATGTCTGCGCCCAGTCTTGACCATCTGATAGATAATCAAGATCTATATTGAAATGAAATAGGTCTAACCTCACACAGTCAATCAAATCACTTGAGCACCTTAATTAAAAACATAAACAAATTTGGAAAATATCTGTTGATGCCGAGTTGACAGTACACATGCTCTGAAAATCGTGCATTTGAGCGTTGTCATTATATTTATGAACCGGAAGTTAATTTTGTTTTAGGGTTTTGATTGGAAAATGCTTCCTTAGTTCATCCAAAATATAACTCCATAATTCTAGCCCAGTTCGGCAAGTGTGGAAACTGGACTTTTAAAGTCATTTAACTCCCTTGCCTCTGGAAGATGCTGGGCAGGACGTACCAGGCAATTTTTGAAGCTTATGGTCGACATGTGATATGTTTTCTGTGTACTGTGTCTACAGTTGTCTGGTTTACAATAAGTCATCACTCATTAAGTGATCAAATGTGCACAGAATGCATGTTTTTTACCTCCCAAATGCCTGGTAATGCTTCTTTTTATTTGTTTAGTACATCATTTAACCATGAAACATACGAGGGATGTTCATTAGAGATTTCCCCTGACCCACTTCCGATGGACCTAATGGAAAGAAACCTGGCATAGATATTAGTCTTTCTCCACATAGGAACCACCAAGAGTTACACACTTCTCCCATCGTTTTATGCAACTATGGAGACCCCGCTTGTAAAAGCCCTCATTTTGCGTCTCAAACCAGGACTTGACTTCCAGAAATCAGTGTTTCATCATCTGTGAAACGTTTTCCCTTCAAAAATGACTTCATGGTTGGAAAGAGGTGGAAGTCAGATGGTGCAAGGTCAGGATAGTAAGGAGGATGTGGAAGGATTTCATAGCCACAGGACCGCACTTCTGTCTGGGCAACATGAGAGTTGTGTACTGGAGCATTGTCTTGCAGGAGACGGACATCCTTGGCCACGCCTCTTAAGCTTGATAGCATCCCGCAATTTCCACAGCAGTGAAGCATAATAAGCTCCTGTAATTGTGGTACCCTTTGCCAAGAAATCCATCATCACTACTCTGTGCTGGTCCAAAACACCGTGAGCATGACCTTGCCTGCCGAGGGTTGGACAAGTGCCTTCTTTGGGGGTGGTGACTCCACATGCTTCCATTGCATCGACTGAACTTTAGTCTCAGGATCATAGTGATGGACCCATGTTTCATCCTGTGTGATAAAGTCTGTCAAAAAAGTTTACCTGGTTTTTTTTGCACATGTCCAAAAGATCCTTTGAGCAATTGACTCGTTCCTGCTTTTGGAAAGATGTGAGCAACCTGGGAATCCATCGTGCAGACACCTTATGCATGTTCAAATTGTCATGGATGATTTTTTCCATAGACCCTACACTGATCTTGACATCTTGTGCTAACTGGTGAACAGTTATACGTCGGTCTGCCAAAATGGCGGTCTCCACTTGATGGATAGTGTCCTCATCAATGGCTGAATAGGGGCGACCAGGAATGGCAGCTGTTTCCACAGATGTCCGATCACACTTGAACTGGCGATGCCAGTGTTTAACAACGTCATATGATGGGGCATCTTCCCCATAAGTTGCTTTCATTTTATCGAAAGTTTCTTTTGGTGTGCGACCTTTCAAATATAAAAACCTAATCACTGCTCGGTATTCTACTGGCTCCATTGTCACATCCTACTCGATCATAACACCTGTAAAAGTGGTAAGATTAATAGTTTGGTGCTGCAAATTCAGACATAACCCATAGATACATGTATCATTACACATGTGAAATTTCAACCAAATATGATATCCCTAAGTGGTTTAGGGGAAATCTTTACTGAACACCCCGCGTAGCTACCATGTTGAAGTATTATTAGATTAAGATCTTCTCCGTGTAGTGGATAGGGTGTCAGCCCAGTGGGTTGTTAATGGTCGTTAATGCCTGGCACTTGGCATTAAGGGGGTAAAGCAAGGATTTATCTGAGTACTAAGTGTCAGTGTCAATGTATAATATTAAAAAACAACAAGTTTTTCAATAAAATTATATTTGTTGTATTATTTCATGGATTGATAATTGATAGAATGATAAAACAATGTTATCAAGGATACATGAGACCACAGCTAGGGGAGAGGTAATTGAGTCATATTGTCAGCCCATTAAGCTTTGTTAGCAAAGCATCTTAGATTTGCTGGTAAATCGTGTCTTGCCATGTGAAGTTGGTGGAGCTGATACCGGTTTGCGGGCAAAGCATAATGTTTCCTGAAGAGCTCTTTCAGCAAGGCTGTAGGAGTGTTTGTCTGCAGTTGGTTGGTCTGACCTTTCTTGAGTTGCTTGGTTGTGAGGATTTGTTCTATGATCTTGTTTGTGATGGCGTAACCAAACAGACAAATAGTTTGAAGAGGATAATCGGATTCATTTCACCGTTCTCGGTTATGTTATTCATCTTGTAGGCATATAACCCTACCCTTATCATCGCCAAAACTCTTTATGCGGTTTACAACGAAATGTCACCTCAATTTTAATAAAGAAGTTGTTTAGCCACCAGAAATTGTTCTTGTTTATATCCATAGTACATTCCATGCAAAACCTTATCTTCCATTTGAGATTACACCACTATTCATATTAATATATTGTAAATATTGCTGTAGTGTGTGGACATATTTCATACTCAAATGTATATCAATTTCATGGTATGTCCTTATATAGTTTAGGGATAACTTTAGCAAACAAATATTGCATTGCTTGAATTCATTTCAAAGTTGTTTGTTTGATGTTTAACGCTGCACTCTGCAGTATTCCAGCTGTATGTAAATAATCCAGTCTGGACCAGACAATCCAGTCATTGATATCATGAGCATCGATCCACAGCGAGCCTGACCACCCGATCCCGTTAGTCAGCACTTATATATTATGACAAGCATAGTCACCTGTTCAGGCAATCATTGGTTGCTGAAGACCTAATCTACCCCGGTTCTTCATGGGTCTCATGTGCAGACTCTTATGACATGTACATGTACCACAGAAACTGCAAGGGTGATTAGTGATTATAAGCAATCTCTGCAAAGACTTACTAAGCAAGTTAGTTAGACATTGTAAAAACCATATATGCTGATGGTTGGCCCCTTTGAAAGATATATTTATGACAATTTTTTTTATAAATGTCATGAAATTTGGTATATGTATAGTTTGTAGTGGGGTTCAACACATTTCATTCTGTTTCTTGAGATAGTTAATATTTTTGCCTTTGTTTCACCTTAGCAGTTCGACAATACTGAAAGCTCAAACTTTATTGCCATTACTTGACTGATTTCTTTCAAAATGTATTGAAATTAAGCTTATGTGTATTAACTAGTGGGGGTCTAAGACTTAAGTTCTGCTTTGCCCAATAGTTTAAATTTTGACCTTTTTGTAAACCTTGGCACTTTAACCATGCTCCTAAATTCTCCTAAAATGCATTTTTCTCACATTATAAACACCATCTCCTTGGAAACCACCGCTAAATCTTCACATGCTTGAACCCAGTAATGAGGTTTAAATTTGATGTTCTTGCAGTGAATCAAATACATGAGCACGTAGAAATATGACATTGATATATTCAGTGGTTTTGAAGACTGTTTTATTCTTCATTGCTTGCAGATGGATTCACATATGACATTTTGACAGTATGCAGATGAGCTGACAAGGACACCCAGAATTTTCCCATTTACTTTTGCTGATATTATCTTACCACTCTCTTTCAGACCAAAAAATGAAGCAAGTGCATGTTTATTCATTCCGTCTCAGACAAATTCTCATGATGTACTGTTGACACTGAATGAGAAACAAATATGCTCTAAAGGATTCCTGAAGCCCAACCTCAACTATCATCCTAACCATGAAGTCATAGTTTTTTTTTCTCCAAAAGGTATGTATATGCCTTCTTGTCTAGCCGTAAGAGTACATTCACTAAGAAACTTTCTTTGTTCAAAGATAATTATTTTAGTTATTATTTAAGCAGTCCCTTTAAAGGGGCACTGCTTAATGTGTTTGCTCAGATTTAACTCCAAATGCCGCAGCCGCAAATGATCATCTCAACCATGTGCTGATGGTCATGGTCACTCAGTGTGATATGTATGATTGGAATTTGGACGAAACTTAGTATAAGTGATCTCCAACCCTTTGATAACTTTTGTGTGACCTCTCAAGGTCACTCCAGATTAAATATTAAACAAGTTCTAATTTGACCAAATTTTTGATTAAGTCCAATCATTTAAGAGGACTTACAATAATTAACTCCATACCCACTATCATATGTCATGGTTGTATCAAATGTAAATGTTGCTTTGTTATTCACTCATGAAATGACTTGCAAATTGTTGCATGCAGAAGTATAGTCAGCACATTTGTAACACAAACTATGTTTGCCACAAGCAATGTACAGAGACACGTGATTGGATGATGTTAAAGGTCAAGGTCACCCTTTGAGAAGTAGACATCCCAAAAAGTTTGTGTATAAAATATTTGAAATTGGAATCTTGATGAAACTTTATTGTATCTCTGCTGTTCATAGCTGAGATTGTAGGTCAAGGTCATTAAACTAGAAGTGCTTGTAACTATATTATTGATGTAGCTACAGGCAGAAGACTTTCTCTTTTAAATTGTATTGCATTGGGCATGAGTTTTCCCAAAGCAGGAGTGTTGTTATTAAACTGGAAGTAATTACAACTTACTGTTATTAAAGTAGCGAGGGTCATAGGACCCAGGGACCTCTGAGCATGGGAAACCTTACATCATTTGTGTTGGAGTCATCTGTCTATTTTTAACATTTCTCTGGAACCCCCATTTTGTAGCTTTTTTAACCTGGGACCCCAACAAGTAGACAACAATTATGTGTCTTAGTTTTGTCACCACCATACCATACTCGAGGCAAATGTTTAAGACCTGCATCACTTCAGGCTTTCCTCCCACATGCCATGATATAACTTCAATACTGATCAAAGCGGCATTAAACCCAAATCACTCACTCATACAGGGCCGGAATGTATGTCCACAGTTTAAGCAGAGTAACTTAATTTCAGAAACTCAATCATACATGTTCTAGATAAGCAAGTTTCCTAAGATGTGTCTGATTGGCTACTTGGAAAATAATTGCTTGTTCCTTAACCAATCAGAAGCTTGTATTTTAATGTAAGGTAAGATAACATGCAATGTCTTCTCACTATTTTCTTATACTTTGTTCCAGATGCGGCTTTGGCAAAGCAAGCATTGGCCGAATATCGAGCAGAGAGACTTCCCACAAATGTTAGTTTTTATATGTCATAATCTATTTTACAATCTCACTGAATGTAGTATGAAGGTGTCTTTCATGTGTACTTTCATCTTGTCTATCCATCCATTTAAATCTGTTACCAAGAACAAATTAAGGAAATCTAGCTATAAAATTTTGTCAATGGATCTTTAGGTAAAAGTAAATGACCAAATGTTATATAGATCAGTTAGATTCAATAAACTGGTTATACTGTTTGTCCAGTTAGCTAATGAAAGTGGTACAAATCTGTACCATATGTGGTTATAGGTGCTCATGTGTAGCATGGTTACAGCGTACATAAGCTAGGATGCATGTCTACACCTCGAAAATTTGTTTTGCCAGTATGATTTACAATAATAATTTAAAAACTACAAACATTTTTTGTAGATTGACAAAATATTTTTCCAAACTGCTCTTCTGATGTTAACTATGTTGAGAGCAACATGAGATTTCTCTTACCTGTCTAGTCACTTTAATGATCTGTTAACTGTCAACAGATATTCAAAGGATATTGGTGCTTTTGTCTTTTTAGTCAGAGTCATGTCATACCTCCTTTTGCAACCATTCCATGACGATGCCCCAGCAGATATCCATCCCCCTTGTGGGAAGGTCGGGGGACGTAGATAACTCTTCCCCTGTTCCCGTTTTTCAGTCACAAACCCTACCGATTTGGCTATATCTATGAATTACGATCGAGACTACCACCTTATGTAACACCAACCCTGGCTCCAGTGTTTTACGCTGCCAACTTGAACTGATTACGTCCGACCACTGGATCCTAGATGTTTCTTTCAGCTACAAGTAACACTTCAAGACCCGTCCACTTCTTGTGTCCATCCAGATTCCATCTGCAAAACTAAGGGCACCTGATCTTGCCATCAACACAATGCTAAACAAACAAGCCATTCTTGTATTCCAAGATTGGGGCGTCAGCAAACTCTTTTATTCTCCGGTATTCTTGGAACAGAAGAAAATACCACTAAAATGAGGATAATTATTGATCTCAAGAAGATGAAAAAATTCTCCCTGATCTTTCCTCAAAATTTCATATACGGAGTTTGGCTTTTCAGTATCGATCTATTAGAAGCCTATCTCCAAGGGCAGATACATCAGTCGTCACCAAAATATCTCCTTCGCAATAAACACAAGTTGTCATGAGTTCGGGTTCTCCTGTTCAGGATCTCGATTACACCATGGTTGTTCACCATAATAATGGCACCTTGATTTGTTTGCCACATGCCTGAATTAATTTATGTCAGTCCGTTGCCAGACCCGAGGGCATTACAGATTGACGCCCTGTTGATGGATTGGACAGATCTCTTCACTTACACATTCCCTCCTTGGTCTCTCCCAGACAAAGTACCGTAATTAAAAGATTTATATGATGAAATCACAGGAGGTTTATAGGAATTGCTGTCAACTATACAGGGAGTGTCATAGAGGAAGAACCTGCCTTCCCTCTGGTATATTCTGGCAATGATTTAATAAAGGTAGATGATTCGTTAGAATTATCAAACAATAGTTATTAACGTTAATAATTCAAAGAATACTAACTCTTTTACAGAAGTACTTCCTCCCACTTCCCCAATCATATGTCTCTAGTTGATTGATGTTTGGAAAGAAACAAAATATTTCCCGCCTTCACACACGAGAGCGCTGTGGGCTGTTGGGTGCTATCGTGGTTACAACTTATTATTGTATAGTTGACAGTAAAGAGCCAAAATACAGGAATTTGACAATGGTGTGATAGAGGTAGTATTCTTAGAATTATTAACATGATAATTGTTTAATTTCTTGATGAAACTTGCTATACAGATCAGTCTTTTGGAAAACTGGTGCCTTTTTATGATTTGGGATTTTTATTTTTTATATTTTCATGTTTTCATGACGAAATTTTGGACTTCACTGACAATGAGAATAGTGCTCGTTTCCAGAGCAGATCTCCAAAACCATTGAATATTTCTAGATGAAACTTGGTATACAGATCAGTCTAGTGGGAAACTAGTACCTTTTGATGATTTGGGATTTGAAAAATACTGAACAGCATAATTCATTTTTTCATGGAACTGAAGGCATCCAATGGCAATGAATCAAAAGTAGGGTATCAGTAGCCAACCTCCATTTCCTATTTGCACCAGACCTGGGGTATATGTAATCTCCTGATGACTCTTGTTCCAAGTGTTGTCATAAAACGGTAGGCAATTCAACCAGTATTTAAACTACTGATCGAGGGAACTATACACTGACTTAACTGCATACAAAAAGAAAACGAGAGAAATGTCCAACAACAAACCACAAGACAGTGTCAAGGAACTTGGGATGAATTTACAAAAAGCATTCAAATACATGATGAAAGTCTGATTGGAAATTGTATCAATACCTTGTGTACCCTTCTCAAGCATCCAGAAATACCTGGATATGATGCCTTATTGATGACATAAACCTTCTGATGGAGTCATTGGATATTTGTTCAACACCTCCAGTAAGAGTAATTTCTGTCACCCGTGGTGGTGTATACTGGCACCCTCAACTCAGTGATCAACACAATGTACATAGTTATCAAATGTATTACCATACAACAAGTCACAAGCATTTACAGCCTGGGCCAACAAACACATGGGCTCGGAATATGACACAAAGTTTACAATATCTCTGCCCTACCCTGAAGATGTGGGAAAAGTAGTGAGACTGACAGCATAATTACCTTACAGGCAGCCCGATAAAGTTGCCTGTTGCCCAAAAATCGTGTGTGTTTGTCTTAACCAAAGTCTACCGTTTATATAGTCACCAAGAGAGACAACTGGCTGTGTATGGCAACACTGTCCCAAACCAAATCAGCAACCACCTGTCTGCCCCCGCGGGAAGAGACATGCACTGAATGAAGGACAAGAGTTGAAAGACAGCCAAGCATCACCAATCGGATTTTGTTACAGTAAGCATGACACCTGAAGCCACACCTGTATGTTATTGATGTTGAAAAGAATTGGATGAATCGAGCAGTGAGGGTCTGTTATTGTCCTCTTGGATCAATCTCCCTTGTGGGAAAGGGGAGCACAACTGACTGGGCGTTCAAATTTCTACGAATGATGACAAAACATGTCTATTTTTTAACCAGAAATCCCATCCCACAACATGATACCAAAAAGGTGAACTGTTTAGATGTATCCTAGAACCATTCATGCAGCTCTCTGTTGATACACCCACATCTGATCATCAGGATGGAGCAAGCTGAACCTACTCTCGTCACTGAACAGTACCCTAGCTTGACCAATCACCTTGTTACCAACGTCACATAATTCAAGACCACTGTCGTCTATTTCAACAGTGGGGTATGTGGGTGCGATATCTGCAACTCATAATTATCTTGACACTGTGCATGTGCGGATGCAGCATCCCAGTCCCATCAAGGGTGAGTGTGTCACCATTAGATACAATGTGGACAGATGGTGGACAATGGACATTAGGGTGTACCTGTGTGTTCTTGCAATATGGACCCGTGTACCATTCCAAGACCCCTCTCTATCCTTTCGGTTATAATGCTGCTTACCTTGGAATTTTTCTTGTGGCTTTTATGAGCTGTGATGATTTGGGATCCAACCACTAGATTTTTATACCCTCTGTGCATCTTCATCTTGATATATAGTCTGTCCTGCCATCAGTCTGTAAACTAAAAAAAACGTTCAATTTTTTTCAACGAAAATTGGCAATTATATCAAATATTCCCTGCAGTGGTGCCTGCTGCTATTTGCAGATTTTTGGTATTTTTATTTTTCTTGATTTCATTGGAAACAATTTCGACTAGTCTCCTGAGGGGGTGGATTTAGTTTCCAGAGCACAACTAAAAAGACGTTCAATATTTTTTAACAAAAAAAGGCAGATATATAAAAAATATCTTGAAGTGGTGCCTTTTGCTATTTGCATATTGGGGGCATTTCTTTTTTTATCGATTTCCATGTAAACAAATTGGACTTAGTCTCATAAGGGGGTGGATTTTCTTTCTGGAGCACCACTCCAAAACTATTCAGAATGGAGGGGTAGGTGTTGTTTCCGACGCATAACTTCAAAACTGTGAAAGACATTTCATCCGAAGCCAGTACATGTACGTTTTAACCAAAGGCTAAAGTGGTGCCATTTGCTATTTAGGAATTTTTCAAAATTTGATTTTTCCTGTTTCCATGGAAACAGGTTAGAGTTATTCTTTCATGACACTTTACACACACAAAGACCAGTTTGTCAAATTGTGCCTTTTGCTACTTAGGGGTGTTTAGAATATAGACATTTCCATTTCGGTGGCAACAAGTTTGAATGAGTGAGTGAGTGAGTTTGGTTTTACGCCGCTTTTAGCAATATTCCAGCAATATCAAGGCGGGGGACACCAGAAATGGGCTTCACACATTGTACCCATGTCGGGAATCGAACCTGGGTCTTCGGCGTGACGAGCGAACGCTTTAACCACTAGGCTACCCGACCGCCCCCGCAACAAGTTTGACTTTGACTATATAATATATGTTCATAGTGGCGTATTTGTCCAGGACATATCTCTAAAATTAATATCTATTCTTTCATGGCACTTTACACAAACGGAGACCAGGTTGTCAAATGGTGCCTTTTGCTATTGAGGGACTTTTTGAATTTATATTTTTTCTGTTTGCATAGCAACAAGTATGATTTTGATTCTGTTTATCGTGGTGTGTTCCTGACAGATTCAGTGTACCAATTCCATGGTATTGTTTTGATAACTGAGTAACTATACTCTTGTATATGGACAGTCAGACAGATTAGATAGAAATTCTCTCATCATGTTGGATTTAAGTAACAGTCAGATGATTTGTTATTTCAGATTTGATGGGGCCATTTTTCTGATGACACTTGTTTTTTAATGTGAAAATTACACAATATACACATTTTCCTTTGGAGGAGAGCTTGGTCACATGATTGTGAAACTGATGTTTATAAGTGGCTGAACAAAACAGTTTGACATTCATATGTTTTT